AAATGTTCTTTCGTCCAGCTGTTGGGGACTGTAATAAGCACAGGACATTCGTTACGAGCTCTTTTGATGTTTAATTCTTTCAAGATAACGTGACGCCTATCAATAATAATCATAAAATTCATGATTAAACAACAAATTAAACAGAAATTAAGATTTTATATATTGATTACCATAAGGCTTCTAAGTATTCCCAATTAACGATCACACCACGTTGTATCGGAAAAGTTGTTACGATATTGCAGCTTTCTTTGAGTTCCCTTAGTTGAGATCCACATATATAAGTTTGTTCTTTTGCAGTCGATTTCGAAGGAGTAGTATCAGGTGAATTCGGACCAGAATTATCAGAAGTCGAAGAGATCTCTTGTCGACCCAAATTTTCAATATTTTGTTTATCCGAGTCATTCTCAGTCTGCTTGGCAACTTCTGCAGGAATAACCTAAAAAAAGGAAGACTTTATTTAGTCTTTTGAATTCCAATTAATGGACATTTAATGGCATAAATAATTTATTACCACTGACGGGCTCTGGTTGGTATCGCTGACACCAATTCCCGCTTTTATCCTCCACGATCCGTTCTCGATAATCACATAATTTTCTTCCTTAAGAGTAAAATGCATTTATGTTATTAGTTGCCGAGTACATCTATGTACCCCCACCAAATTCGGTGGGCGGGTTGGATTCATAGGAGAACATTCATCTGGTTGGTTAATTGACGTCGATCAAAGTGTGATCATCTACCAATCAAATCCGTCGGAAAAATCCAATACATTACACAAAATGGTAGAGTAAAAGCGGAATTTGGTTTTAGGACAAACGAACCGTTCCATCTACGAAAACTCCGAGTTAGAAACGATTTTTTTGAAAGAATTCATGATCACTTCGATTTTTCTACTATCAAAAAATCCAATAACATCGTTATTGTGTTTATTATACTAATAAAAGCTGAACTTCAATTCTATTAATATAGAAAAATTAACAGCTTGTTCGTTAAACAATGACAAAGAATCTATTTCATGGTTTTTTTTTTTAAAAGTATTTAATCTTAACAGAAAATCGAATGTTGGAGTGGAAGAGGTAATAATAAATTCGGAAGTAAATCCAGGAACTTAGACATTACACTATCTTCATTATCGTTGTTATGAGAAATTTGAACTTCCACGATCAAATCCGTAAAATAACGATAGTAATATTGCGCACCTGGTACACATTTTCCGAATGCTAATTTATGATATTTAATTTGGAGGCTTTTAAAATTAAAACTTGATTTTGTTTGATGTGATCAATGATCTACGTATCAAGTATTATCATTATCATTTCTTTACGTACGATACAGATACAGATAGGATTTAAAGATGATTGACATATGCACCATAAGCATAATATGAATGTACAAAGTGTGCTACCACAAACGCGGCAGAGGAAATCATGCTACGGATAAATAATAATTATGTAACATTTCGTGATGGACAACGTAGTATAAATATATAAATAAATAGATAAATATCAATTATCAATTAGCATAGATAAAACAGGTACTGTACGTACCATCAAGACTTATTTATAAAAATGATTTGATCGTAATCAATGAAATTGATGTATTATCAACATCATTTTTTCGGCTTTTACTGAGAAAAAATGTTCTCGCACTCCGATTATCAATCTGACTATCGATATATGTAGTTGTTTTATCCTCATTTAAAGAATGTAAAATTTGCAAAGTATTGGAGAGATATAAACGAATTTCTCATAACTTTAAACAAAAAAAATTCGTGTAAAATAGTGTGGAAACATTTAAATAAGGGAATTTTACATGTCATATTAATATTTTCTATATACGGATAAAAGTCC